AAAATAAAATGTACAGAGATATTGTCCCTAAAATTGATGATACCCATAGCTGACTTATCTTAACATAGATCCATGAGTTGCACGATGCTCACGCTCAGAGATTGGATGAAAAATAAATTTAAAATATCTATTTTCAATAAAAATTAATATTTGTGTATTTCATGTTAAGACATTCAATTTTGTTTTGTAGTATTTAAACTACTATTAGTATTTTTATTTTTAAATACTAAACTCGATTTTTAAAATATTTTTAAATCTAATTAACATCAAATTTTTTTGAGAAAGGATCATATAGGACCCTCTCCCACCTATATGTGTAGGACCTCAAAGGATCACATGTGATAACTTTTCTAAAGATCCATGTCAAATTTAATGGCTATCCTTTAGGATCCTACACACATGGATGGGGGAGGGTCCTATAAGATCATTTACTCATTATTTTTATCTTAAAATTTTAAATATTTCTTTTTTATCGCTATTTTTGTATTTATATTTCATGTTTTCCAATTTTATGTTCTATCAAAGTTTTTTAATTTTTGTCTTATAGTTTCCAGATAAGCTAAATGTTATAATAGAATATTTAAGAACAATTAGCATGTGAAAACCATTTCTATTTTTTTAATATCTAACAAGTCCCTCCTTAAAACTCGAGTTTTCAAATAAGTTTTTAGTTTTCAAAATATGTAAAAACACTCCGAGGTTTTCAAAAATCTTAAAAATAAATAAAAATAAAAATTAAAAGATATGACCATGCATTTTATCTTTTTTGTAAGGAAAAAGCTTATATAGAGCCGAGGCTCTAAACAATCAAATTAAAGCCTACCTAAAAAATTTTACTAGAAGAGGTTGTTTTGATGCCCAAATATCTTCAAATTGATCATCTCGACATCAATATGCATGGACATGAGAAAAAAATAGATTTCAAGTTTTGAAAATGGTGTATTATGTAACACATTTTTCGACCGTCAGTTTTTAAGATTTTCAAGTTTTCATAGATCTGTCGATCTACACTATTTTTTAATATTTAAACTTTATAAATAAAGATAAAAATATATGTTAAGGCTATCACAAAGATTTTCAGTATTGAAACCGTATTTTTCGACACTATTTGAAGGTAGGATCTAATTTGATTGTTTAGAGCCTAGGCTCTATACAAACTGCACATTTTTTTTATAATAAGACTTTATGTACTTTTCATTCAAAATTCTGATTATTATTATTATTTTTTTACTTATTTCTACATTAATTTGAAACATAGACTTACTACAAATGAGGTTAAATCCAAAATATCAATTTAAACAAAAACTCTCACTAACATATTCCCAAAATGTATTAAAACAATTGTATCCCACAAAATAAGTCACCAATATATTCCAACCCAAACAAAAAAATCTCCAAGAAAAAAAAAAAAGAAAGAAGAAGAAAGGGGATATTCACCCATTACCCTACTCCTCCAAAACAAAACAAAAGAAAATAAAAAAAAATAATATACAAGAAGAGTCACTAACGAAAAACCTTCATTTTATATGAACCATGAATATTATTGTTTCTAAGAGGAAGTGATAGTACATTTGAATATACAACTATTGCATTATATTATGATACAACCGTTGCATGAGATCACTACCTTTTAGATGATTGGGTCTAAACAAGAACATCATCATTGCTAAAAAGAAATGATACAACCGTTGCATGAGATCACTACCTTTTAGATGACTGGGTCTAAACCAAAAACATCATCATTGCTAAGAGGAAAAGAGAGAACAAAGAGTGCCTTGTCGGTTTGGCTTCAAGTCTTAGACTTGGTGGAGTCTTTGAGGAATTCCTTTCATCATATGTATAGTGTGTCTAATGATTTAGTTGACACTCTCGCAAAAAGGGATGTTTTTTTCGCTGTTGATGTTATTTCATCAATGTAATTTCCTTTCATTAATAAAGTTTATTCATATTGGTAAAAAAAACAAATATTTGAAGATTTAGATGACTAGGAATTGAACTAGGATTGGGGTTCCAATATGCAGGCTTGCTTACACATGGTTTTTCAAAATCTGGGTCTATTAGCTGGATCATCCACCTGTGTTGGATCACCAAATTAGCAGTCTAGATCAGTCTAAATCGGTGATCCACAAAAATATTAAAATAAAATAAAATAAAAATAGAGGTTTATGGGATGGGATTCATGGAGGAGTAAGAAAACACTAAATAAGTTTTTTTTAAAAGAAAGGAATCAAAAAAGAAGGCCGGATCAATCTTGGTTGATTTCCAATGATAAGTGATTCCCCGTCCAAATCACCTGGTTTTAAATCATTGTTTGAACGTATTACTAGAACAAATAATGCTTTGTTATTTTCGCCTGGTACGAATAAATTTGATTAAATTTCACCTTTTTGGGTTATTTGTTTGTTAGGTAGTGCACACAACACAAAAATTTGAATAGAATATTATTACTCATTTAGTTTTTGTCGATTGCAATCTAATTCTTAGGATCTTTTTTTTTTTGTCCTTACAATGATCCTATGCTTTGAATTGTTGTTATTGTTATGGGATTGTAAATAATGAGACCATTTATTTTTGGTACAGGAGATCTATCATTTTCAACCATTGAATGTGAAATCTAAAAAATGAAAGTGCATCATAACATTCAAAAAATTTTGTTTTGAACTCTGTATCCAAATAATGACACATCCTTAACCACCCAATTTCAAATCTAAATGACAATAACTTAGTTATGGCTATAGTTAGCAAGTCGGAGAATAATAATATATGGGCAAACCAAAATATTGTTGATAAATCGGTTTTGCTCCAAAAAGTTGGATGTAAAAAATCGGGTAAAAAATATGGATTGTAAAAAATTAGGTAAGTTAGAGAATCGTGAATATTTCATATTTGACTCAAAAAAACAGGTCGAAAAAATCAGATATATAAAAATAATAAAATGTGAGATTATGAGTTGTGGTTATTGTAAGAATACATCAAAACCATTGTATTATATTCTATATCCATACATTATATCATCACAATAATACCTGCCAATTTTTTATCTAAACTTTCAATAAATACAACAATAATGTTTATTTTGTTGTCACGACACAAAAATATGATAGATTTATTGAGAGCACACAATAAAATAACTACAGCAATACTAAACACAAGAACTATATTAACAATCAACATGAATAGTAGCCCAAGTTATGGGATTATTATTTGAAGAAAAAAACAATAAATAACCTTCAGTATAGGATTGCAGTTAACTAAAACACAAAAATCCAAAATGTAAAATAGTTGTCCATCCAAATTACTATGTCGTATACACTAATTAAATAGAAAAAGTTAAAACGGTGATTGAAATTAATCAAACTTTTACATGCAGAAGGTAAGCAACGAAATGCTTAAGCAAGTCCAAATATTTGAAGTTCCCATGAATTCCTAGCTGCCAAATTTTTTAGTTCATTGAATCTCTCTCTTACATTTTATGAAGACAATAATGTTTAGAGAAATTTTTTTTTTCATTGGGTTACTCTTCTTTCAACTCTAACTATTATTTTGAGGTATACAATTGTTTTGATATATTGTCTTTGGAGAATCTGTTGCATGTTTTTTTGGAAACATATTGGTAAAAACTTTTATGAAAATTTTTATTAAGTAAAGATTCTTAATTTACCCCTACTTTAATGCACTTGTCTCTAAACGAGAACTCGAAGGTACTAAATCAAAAAAGAAATGAAGTTATAGGGAAGAAGATTTTTTGAAGAAGTTTTTTTTGGGAAAATAATATTTAAAAAACGCAAGTCTTTGAAGATCATTTGGAAAACTCGGAGTTCTTAATGGATTTAAAAAAATTCACGAGTTTTTTAAAAAATCGTGTTTTAAATGGAGACTTGCTAAGTATAATTGTGACCTCCTTGTATCAAAAGTAAATGGTCTCATTGTTATCTAGTGTTATTGTTTTATCGTCTGTACCTAATAGAATTATATATTTTGCCTTATAATAACGAAGGACGCATATAATGTTGTGTATATTGAAAATTTAGACAAAAAAAAATCATGAAGTAGGACTTTAAATGCTACCAAGCCATAGCATGAAATTATTTGATTATATTGTATTATTGCAATAAAATGATTGCATTGCATGCCTCAATGCAAATTGTAACTTCAGTCATATATACATATCCAAGTTTTTTGCTCCATTTTCTAACTAAATTTGAAATTTCATAATTTCTTAACTTACCCAATCTTTGGTGGTCCAAATTTTTACCCTAATTTTTGGCCTCTAGTACCAAAAATAGATTTAAACACAGGTTTTTTTTTTTTTGCCAACGTATTATTATTCCCCGGTTTGCTAAGTAAAAAGTTTATATAAGGTTGCAAACTTACTTGTAAAACATGAAGTAGTCTACATAACCCATCTTATTTGAAAGGTGTAGATTTAACACTATCAAAAAATATGAGTTTTTTTGTGGAAAAATTTCGTATAGAACCCTAATTCCTCGTATTATTTCATATAGGTCTTCCTTCCGTTTTTCTTTCAAACAGTAGAAAAAAACCCCTAAAGATTTCAATATATCCCCTCATCTTTTATCTCCCTCGTTTATTGACTTTTGATCATAAAAATTAGCTCACACACATACTATATATATATATATACTACTTACTTACTTAACTTAAGTTAACGTTAACGTTAAGTTAAACGTTAAAGTTAAAGTTAAAGTTAAAGTTAA